AACTCAATTTCATATTTATTTTCACATTTTCACTTCGCGGTCCTTCTCTGTTCTTTTTCCGTTATTTACACGTGTAGGTCATTTCATTGTTATCCACATTTGATATCATCATTTATCACATACTTCCATGACACTCTTGTCTGTCGGCTACAACTGCCAAGAATTAACGCGATTGGCGAAGCGTAGTGACAGCGGGCCAATAGAGAGCAGGATCCTTGCCATAATGCGGTTTGCGCGCCAATTTTCGTACGTGCGTTAATCGAGCCGAATAGTTTGGCCGAATATTCGGCTATTCGGCCTGAGGCCGAATATACTATTCGTTACATCACTAGTAGTAATTAAAACACACAAAAATTGTAGAAAATTTTGTAATATTCACAATATACTCAGATTTAACATTTTTTTAATTTTCTCTTTTTAAATGACTGCAAAAAATGTTTCAGTGAAAAACCATTTAGAAGTTTCAAGAATGTTCAAATGGGAGGAGTGCAGTTTTTTTGATTCAAAGCCAAATTATTGTATTGCAACAGAATCCACAGATTGCTAGTAAAGTGGAGCCATATTAAACATGTGTGTAACTAATTTGATAAATTAAAATACTTCATAATTTCATTGTGAGTTTTGTTCAAAAAACTTGCTTTTGCACTCATCACATAATTTAACAATCTTGTATCATGAAATAAAAGTTTAAAATATTATAAGAACAAAAACTATGTTTTCTTATGAAATATTATAAAAATTATAATTCAGTAAATATTTTTAATAAATACAACTTATAATTTTTAAATTTTAATTATTAAAATAAATATTTTAAAAATAATTTAATATATTAGACACTTAGATATAAATATTATGAAATAGTAAAACAAAAAACATTCACATACTTTCATGACCTAATTGATTTCTGGAAAACCATCAAGTGAGACATATTTCTCTATAAACTGTGTTATTAAGATAATAAATATTTCCATTTTGTTTACAAGTTAAAGATTTTTCTGATTAACATTAAAATTTTGTTTTTATTTAATGTAACAAATATAACAGAAAATGTTTTAATTTATATTTATGCAGTTTTTTGTGAAATGCCGAATAAGATAATTTTACTTATTTCATCAAATTCGTTAAATTTATAATGAATTTTAACTTTAATTGATTTCAAAATTTATAACAAATAATTTCTAAAGTACAAAAACTGTTCACCTAAAATAGCTCTGATTAATACAATTACAAAGTTCATGCAAAAAATATTTTTAAGTTATAGCAATTTCTCAATATTTTTATAAACAGACTGATATATTCAACAGTATAAGTCAAAAACATAATTTATAAAATAACATAAGATATAATCAAGAAATATATTTATTTATTATAAACATTAAAAATGAGTAAAATAATTACATATTTATTTTTAAATCATTGATACATGGATTGATATCATTTTACATCATTCAAAATAATTATTTAAAAATTTAATAAAGCAACTAGTATTCAATTAAAACTGCTAAACAAAAATCTAGTTGTTTTTTCGGTTGCAAAGAATGTTAGAAATTCAAGCTAACAAAATGCTCTCTGATAAGAACAATGGAATTTCAGATTATAAAAAATGTTATCTATATATAATAAATTACTTGTTTAATGTTGAAATTATTTAATGTGTATTTTGTCAATAAAATAATATACTCTAATCAAACTACAACTGTTTGTTTATGCCATTAACACACTTTTTTCCTACAAAATTCATATAGGTTATTAATGAACTGGTGAAAACATTAATAATTCATATAAATTATTTAAAATTAATTTTATATAAAAGTTTCTTTCAGTACACATTATATAATTTTTATTTTCAACATAAGGCAATAAAAATTCTTTCAAATATTGAAATTCCAGTGAAAATAAATTCTAGTTAACAAAAAATAATTTAAACTACAGGTATCCCTTATATAACACAGTAGTTATATTCCAAAGTGCAGTGTTATATGAAACAAAGGACTAGTGCAAAACATTGAGGTTAGGTTCCAAAAGTATACTATTCTTTTTGTTACTGAGAGATATATTTATTAAAGCAATCAATAATTTATTCCAGTCAATAATTAAGTAACAATCACAATTAAAAGTACTGTATTATGTATTAGTATTAATTTTAGTTAAACCAGGGCATTTTATTTTTACACAGTATCATTTTCATCTGAGCTTTTTTTATTGATCTTTGATCAGACATACCAGCAACATTTTCATATTTTTTTTATTTTTATCATAAAAACTTTTATGGATGATGAAATAAAATTATGTTCTAGCAAATTGCATTTGTTCAGTTGAGTATCAAGTGACTTTTTTCCAGAATTTGTGTCTGAATACCAAAAATTGTTTGAGTACTGAGATACTGCTGTATTTCACTTGTCATTTTTACAAATAAACTAATCATTTGTAGGTAAGTAACAACACTGACCTAAAAATGTGTAAATAAACTTTACTAAATACAAAGATTGTAACTGTGTTTTCTTTTTATAGATTAGTCTTAAGGGCTAAAGTCTGAAAGCAATGACAATGACATCTGATTGATAATGCAATTTTTTCTTCCTTGTCCTAACTTTCCTATCAGTTTTCATTAAAGTAAACCTGATAAAAAACACAAATAATTTGAAAATTTCAATATTCTAAAATCCATGAGCAAATTTGAATGGCATGCATGCTTACTTGAATAAAAAAAATATTGAATAACAAACTTTACACTTAAAAATTGTGAAATTTTGTACAAAGGATTTCCAAAACTGTGTTAGAGCAAAACTGGAAGTCATGTTGTATAGGGGATATCCCCAATTTTCAAACTGTGCTGTAGAAGAACCATGTTGTATGAAGGATATCTGTATTAAAATTATTTTATATATGGTACTGTTTTTACAATATTGTACATAAAATCTTGTATTTACCTTGCAAACTATAACTTGCTAGCAAGATGGCTTGTTCTTTATTACATTGAAGTTTTCCATCAATAATATCTTTCTTTAATTGAAGAAAATAATGATATCTAATTAAAAACAAATAATACAAACTGATTAGAAAATTTAATAAAATTTAGGAAATCTTTAGACATTATAATTTTATTTAAACAGAAATATCATTCATATAAAATTTTATAAAAGGCAAAATAATTAAATTTACTATTACAAATCAAACAACTTTACTTAAAACCATTATTGTAATTTTTAAAACACAATAAATGAGCAATTATTTATTGTGACATCATCACAACACCAAGCTGCAATTTTTAATTAATTTAAAATATATGCTCTCCACCTCAAATTAGTACTATCTTGCCTCTGAACATCATACTTTTCCTGTTAGCAATAGAGTTGTGCCGGCCATGTTATCTAACTCCTTTCGGGGGAATTTTTTAATTGAAATCACACGATTTCTGGTTTGTATCAGACATTTGTATATAGTTAATCAGGGGTCTTTTGCCCCTAAGCTTTCCATATCTGGTCCCAACTTTCATCTATCTAACTCCGTTTTTGAAATTAAGGAAGGACAGACAGACAACAATGGGAATTTATAGGTCTATAATTTTTTCAAATTGCAACCCAATAAAACCAATCAGAATATTATATAATTATAAAATGACTAATTTTAATATAATGCATTTATGTTAGTAAAATTACAGATGCTCAATAATGAAATAAATTTATTCATCAAATTTTGATTTGATTTTTAAAAATTTTTTTTAAACAAGCAAATTATAACTGAATTTAAATAGTGTTCTTGGAACATATAATTATAACACTTGCATAACAATTAAATTAATGCAAACTTTTTTGGTGTGGTACATATCTGGAATTAAGAAAACAGCTCTAGACAATCCTAAAATTATTTAACTGATCACTATCAAGAAATGAGCCCAAAATATTGTATATACATCTTACATAATTACCACATATGCTAAAACAGATAGAACAAATCATTTTCATATATCAATACAGCTATAAAAAGATAAGATATTACAGGATATTCTCTTCTTTTGTAAAATTCTTTATTGACAAGACTATGTCTTGTTTATAAAATCGTACTGCCACTCATTCTTACCAACATAGAGGTATGAAGGAGTACATGTCGAGAGTTGATATTTGGCACAGAGTATTAGGTGCCCAAATCATTTGCGCATAAAAAATTCCAGACTCGTAGGTAGTCAGGGGACCAAGAATCGAGTCAAAATAAAATCCAAAATGGTGACCCTCTTCTACAAACAGGCAAAACAGCCACCTCACCCCACCGAAGTCAGGTAGGGAAGAGTACCATCCACAGTCATTTTAAGAAGTGAACTCTGACCTTAGGACTGAACACGTAGTCTCTTCTAGGTTAAATAAAATTTGTAATCTAATTTTGTAAATTTGGGAGTGCTTCAAATATGATGTTAAAACGGTTTTATGTCGTTACAAGTGAGTTTTTTTAACATTATCTAGTATAGTAAAATCGTAGGACCAATAAAAATTTGACGTTATATTAGGGTTGTCGTTACATTCGATGACATTATAATCAGGTTAAATTGTATATTGTTTGTGCAAAATAAAATAGTAATTTCGGACGATACAATAGCCACGATTATTTTTTCAAAAACGGGAACTTTTCATTACGCATCGACAAAAATTCAACCCGGGCCAACATGTAACGGAGAGAATTAGATAGGTTAATTTCAAAGATGCATCATGGACGATCTTGTGGTTGTGGCTGGCAAAGTTTGAATGATCACACCCAAAAGCAACGATATCACAGAAGATAGGAGAATGAGAACGAGACCTGCCTTGAGCATCAAAGTGATTCCGTCTCTGAGACATAGTCTTGTCTCAAATATGGTTTTGCTGCTTTACTTGTTTAGATATAGATCTTAAAAGTTATATACTGTATTTGATCATGTAAGAAATTAAAACAGAAACAAGAAAATTCATTAAAAACATGTATCCAAAGCTATTAAATCAAGCAGCAAGGATAAAATTTAGTTTGATGCAAGTAAAAAAAAAAAAGGTGTAATGCTGAAATGATAATTAGAATAATTAAAGAGTTAAAGGAGCACAAAAAAAAGCCATTAAGAAAGAAGTAAAACTGAAAATCAAATATTAACATTTAAAAAAAAAAAAGAAAGGAAGGAATATGGGTCCAGAAACAGCTATGACTTGTCTTAAAAATGAAAGAAAAAAAAATATACTATAACTAATGCATATTACTAATTTTAATGTTATTTTGAAAATATTTGTTATAAAAATAACAAATAATATGCAGTAATCATAAGTTTAAAATTTCTTTGTAAATAAAACTTCAGATGTTATGAATATTAAAATTTTTAAAAACATTTACTTAATGTAAATTGAGTTTTATAAGATACAATGTATTACCATTTATTGGGTTTTTTTTATAAATCTAGAATAAATATTTTGAAAATGTTAGAGGTATTCATGAGAGCTTTTCTCACTTTTTTAAAAGCTAAACTGTACAAAAGCTGTGAATCATGAACATTCATCTGGACTGGATGATTTCAGAAAAGTAGCAAACATGAAACTTTTTGGTATTGTCAACTACAAACATTGTCATTTCAATTTTATTGGTTGACATTGTCTTTTAAGAGAATTATTTTGTATTTTTAAACTAACAGAAATGGCACAGCAACTAGTCCCTCTGTTGGTGGATTTTGATAATTGGCAAATGTTGCTCCAAGACCACTTTTCTTTAATCTGATGGCTTTTATGGAACTTGTACTAATGAAGTCAAGGTCAAGAGAAGCAATGCTTTCGTGACTTTTGAAATAGCTGCAAAAGCTGGTATAGCAAGAAAAGCTATAGATTGTAAATATCTATTACAACATGTATTTTAACTTTCTTAACTCCTATTTTTAAGATATTTTTTAGGGTACGCTTAAGTTTAAAGCATAAAAAATTTTTAATTTGGCAATGACAATATTCTTATATGCTTTATTTTGTTTAAATTTAATAATATAAATAATAAAACTGAATTGTTTTGCTCACCTTGTTACTTCGTCGTGAAGTAAGCTAACATCAGATACAAAAAACATAACACCCAAATATAAACAACATTCTTGTGCATATTTGTCCAATTGTTTTTTTAATGGTCTTTCTAAATCAATCCACCAGAACGTTCCTCTTTTTGATAAAAATCGAAGCCCAAAGTACATTGGCTAAAAGTAAATAATAATTGAGTGCTTTTAAACAAATAAGATTTTTATCTAAAGTTACCTAAAATACAATAAAAACAGAAATTATTAGCATCAATTTTCTGTTTTCAGAAAAAGAAAATTAATGAAAAAATCCACATTAACATTATATATGTATTCATTTTCTGAAATAAACTACGATTATTAATATTCTTAAATTCAATTCAAATAAAAATTTAAAATAAAAAACAAAAATTTATACTATATTTTAATTAATATGTCCAAATTTTTGAAATTATATTTAATTAAATTCACAACTAAGCATTTTCACTTCTAACAAGTTTCTTTAGCTCTATAATATTTTTTACAGAACAGAGAATATTGTTTTTAAATGGCTACAATCAAACAAAACACTGAACAAAATGTATAATGACACTAATAACAATTCATAGAATTATTATTTAATTATATCTATAAATAAAAAATACTGTATGTAGAATAATAAAATGTCTTCACTTTAACATATTATATGCCTCTGTATTTATATTTTAAACTTAGTTATAACCAGTGCTCTTTTTCTAAAAACTAACTGCTGGTATGTATATATCAGCAGTTAGTTTCTACATATACATACCAGGATACATTCTATATGATGACAACATATAGAATTTGTTTTTACTGGGTAATTGTAGTACAGTAATACCCCGAAGTTACGCGATAGGTGGGACCGAGCAATAACCGCGTAAGTCGAATTTGCATAAGTCGGGGTATAATTTCGCAATTTGTGTAAAATCCAAGTCGGATGTATGTAAGCTAATAAATGTTCTCCTTAATCTTATCTCGTCATTTGATTCGTTCATGGTTACAAGAAATCACCATATAGAGTCTCTCAAGTCTCTGTAGATATAACAAACACAGAAATAAATAACACAAAATAAATTGTAGCTATGTGTCGATTCCGTGCGACATGTTCGAACATGTCCGAAGAATAGTATGGGGGGAGTAAGTAATCAAGAGTGTGTGGCGCTCAACAAAAGACAAATCGACGAGATTTGAAAATGGCGTAACTCCGAGGTAGCGTAAGTTGAGGTATCACTGTACTATGTATCAGCTATCAATACTTTTTATTCTACCTGCTGGTATGGATACGCACATTTTGGCTGAAAAATAGTCCTGATTATAGCTAGTGTAAATATCTGGCATTGCTTAGGAAAATTTGATCTTGCACCCTTGATGATGTAAAAAATTTACACCCAAAAATAGTTTTATTATAAAGCAGATTGACGTAGAATATTTTAGTTTTTGGGTAAGGCAATACAATTTTGTCAAACAATGTCCTTTGTTCCAAATGAAACAATGATCGAAGAACTTAAATCATACTTGAAAACTTCAATCTCTAGAGATAAGCTCTAGAGATTGAAGTTTTCAAGTGAATCTCTAGAGCACAAGCTGGAGATGGCACTATAATTAAATGATCAAACTGCTAATAATTTAAAAACTAGCCTGTCCATATACAGTGAATGAATAAAATATGCTTTTTGTTAAATAAATATTTTCATCTACTTCAGGAATATTAGTTATTATTTATATGTAAAAATCTTTTTATAACCATTTCTTTATCAAAGATGTTATGATAAAAATATTTGCAGAAAAATTTTACTTGTTTAGAATATAAGGAATGTTTTCTTTACACATTTATTAAAGTCATTTTGATAATTAATAAACTAATTTTAAAAAATTTTAATATCTGAACTACAATATATATTATATACAGTAGTAATTCTATTATTTGATGTAGTTATAATCAGTCACAAAATTAAGTATTACAATAAACTTCTAAAAAACTGATTATAATATAAAAACAAGATCATTTAAAATTGTAAATTATCTTCTACAGTTTAATTAATATATCTATCATTTAAAATATTCATATTTTTATGTCTTCAGATGCTCAAAACTGACTTTTTAAACAATGAGAACAGTCCTCATTGTATCTATCAGTTTACATACAATATCCTTATATTTTTTTATTTTATGGCATTCCTGTTTATATATTAATGTAAACGCAAAAAAAATTATCTAAAAAAAGAATTACTGAATTATAAAATAAATTCATTTATTTAGATAAAAGAATTTTTATAATTAAAACCAAATATATACTCTTCTAATAACAAAATTATCTTATTTGTGATATTTTAACTGTAGCATTTAAAGCTTAAAACATTTCAATTACTACTTTAGTTAAATAAAAATAATATAAAATCAATCATACAATCATTTTTATATTATAAATAGCATTTATATTATTAATGTAATTGTCAGTCAGATGCCTCTGCACTAGTAAACATTCACTCACTTTCATGCAGATCGGGCACTTTACAAATTTTTATCAGTAATTTTAGATTAGAAGGTATCAATTTCCATGTTTCATCTTTGCTGAAAACTTCAATGTAGATGAAGTTTATCTAAAATAAACAAAATTGAAGCTAGCCTGGAGTCCTTGTGTGTTTATGTATCATGTCAACATGTCCAAATAAATATAATTAAGGTGATAATACAATATCATCCTCTTTTAATCACTTTGTAAATATTTTTTTGAAAAAATTTTATAATCTAAAAGTAAAAACAATATGCATCTGTTGTTTTCATCTTTGAAGAACTCATCTTTCCAAATACAATTTTTAGACCATATTTATTTTGTATAAAAATCTACCAAAATATAATTCAAACTCTGTGTGTATAATTGTTAACTACATTACAGAACGTATACTGTACAATACATAAATCAGTTTTGGTAGTATTCTAGATTCCCTTTGTTAGCCTTGAACTCAGCAATTCTGCAAAACATGTCTTAAAAATGTTTAATTCTAATTCACATAAATAATTCATTCTTAAAATAAATAGTTCTCTCTTTAAAGTCAAATTTACTAAAGATTTAACTTTGTCTTTACTGAATTTAAGATTATATATAAACAATGACTAAAACTAGCTTTGAATTAATTTAAGACATCAATTAAACTTCATGAAAATTTATCCTTATTGTTGTCATCTCTTTTACAGTAATTTTTTTTTTTGTGAACAACTTTAAGAAAATATGCAAAATAGTGATTATGACTGCAGCAATCATAGATGAAGCAAAAAATTGATGATTTGTTACAACAAAGAATTAAAATTATGGATCAGAACTCTTATACATAAAAATATTTAAGTAAAGTTTTAAGTAAATGCAGAAATAAACAGAAATTTATAACATTTCTGTTTATCTGATTAATATCTGAATTATAAACCCAACTTTATAATTCAGATATTAATAAGAATGATTTATAATTGAATTTCTTTTTATATAAAATAAGAAAAACATTTAAAGTTTGCAAAAATTGAAAAATTTAGTCAAAGTCACCATCATAAAATTTGAAATTAATGATTTACTACAAATATTTTATTCTTATAATTTCTATAAATTATTTCAAATGAAAGATCTTACAATTTATATCAAACATCAGAATAAAATATATGACATAGTATAATAAATTTTATACTCTAAATTAGAAAATCAATATTAAATTTGGATTATAAAACCAAAACAGATTAGTTATTTTCAATTGCTTAACAAATAAAATATGAACTCTTTAGTTTTACATATGCATTAATTCTGATTATTATGATATTTTATGTTCATTACTCTAAATTTATTAAATCAATCCACAAATATGTCTAACGTCTATAGATATATTAAGAACAAATATGATTATTTAATTTAACATCATATCAAACTTTTTGATATACAAATTCTAATTTAACAAATCAGCTCCCTAATTTAATAAAGGTTATATTTCATTATTTTTAATTTAATAAATACTGACCTGTTGTAAACCTAGTCTCTGGCAAACATTATGTAGACATTCCTGTCCAATGCTCTGGGAAGACAGAGTGCATTCAACAGTTGTATTGTCTAATAACTCCACAGAAATAACACAAAGATTTTTTGACACAACATTATATTGCCTGCTTTTCTTTAACTTGAGCTTAAACGGCATTTTATAATTTCACAGGATATTAAAGATGCTATTTGCTTTCATTGACCACTGCATTTTTTGCTATGTGAATTTTTTCAGATGATAATTCTGCAAAATGAAATAAATTTTGTTGGTTAATTTTGGAATAAATTTTCTTATTAAAAATGTTTAAGCTAAAATGGTTTGATTACAGAGTCATACAAAGAGCTATAATAATTTATAAATCCAGATGTTATATAACAATAAAATTAATTTATGCAGTAATCAAGAATTTTTTTTTAAAACTCTTCCCACCCTGTGGACACAAAGAAGGCCCCTTTTGGCAAACCCATTATGAATTCAGCCAGGCACACAACGTGGTGGCCAGGTGGTGAGGGATGGGGCCGACATATCCGGTCTGACCACCCCCAAAAAATTCCCAGGGAGTTTCTGACTTGTCCGGATTCAATCCCGGGTCCCCCAGAGTGGTAGGCTGCCACCTTGATTACTCAGCCACCCAGCCGTCAGTAATCCAAGATTATAAAAAAACATTTTTCATCAAAATTGAAAGAATTTAGCAAATTCACCATAGATAAATTTTATCATATTGTCATTTTAAAACAAATAATTGGTTTCAAATTCTTAAAATTTTATTTAACTTGGATATAGTTTATATATATATTTTATAAAAATCTTATTGAATTACATAATTCAATGAAAATTTTTCATATATTTTTATTTGCATTAGTCAAATATAAACGTGTTATAACATATACACATTATTTTAATTTATAAACAATCATTGTCATCTCATAACTTTATACATTTTAACTGTATATATTTCTTCCTACATATAATAAATTAAATAATTTCTCATAAACGTATATATAATTTGGACCATTTTGTAAATAAATAAATCACCGCTAATTGCAGGAAGCCAAATTTTATAAGCTGTAATAAAAAAAAAAATTAAAATTAAAACAATGTACACTTAAGATATTTCTTTTGTTTTCATCTTTGAATATTTCTTTTATGCCTCATCTATGAATCACCGGATGAATTTTTACGTAAATAAAACAATGTAAGAGAATTATAATCAACTCGATTACATTTATAATAATTTTTGTCATATAATATATTTGAATTTAATACATTTTTATACTATAAACAAGACTTGTGCCTTGTATATAGTATACAGTATTAGAAATCCAGCAAGTCTAATTTGTGTAATGAATGTCTCATTATTAAGTATCTTTACATGACAGTTATTAGATCCAGAATCATATATAAGTAAAATTTCAAGAGAGCTGAATAATTAATAAGTATTAACAACATCTTAATTGAGCAATACTTGGTTAAGTAAGTGAAAAATAAAAAAATAAATAAAAAAAGGAGAGATAATTGTTGGTGTGACTCCCACATAAATTCTTGGGTGTACCCTTCTAACATGATTCTAGAGTGGTGTCATAAGTATTTAACATTGTACATGATAAATTTAAGCTAACAGAGACATTAATAGGAGGATAAATGGCATATATCTTATGTATTTACAACAACAAACCTTCATATCAGTTGTCAAGGTCTTAATTAATCTTAAGTTATTCTCGATTTATATTAGAAACAAATAGATTCGATAATATAATGTTTACTCGTTAAGAATTCTTAAAATGGTGGATAAATACAGAAAAATAAGTAAAAACACATCAATTTCCTTACCTAAAAACAGCGGACTGAAAGTGATGTATTACGACCCATGCCTAAAATAAGACACCCACTACAGCGCCCCCTGCCAATATTAACTGGTTAAATATAAAATATTTATTTAAAAAATAAAAAAAATAATAATAATTTCGTGAAATTTTCGAGAAATTTAAATTATTCGTTCGATAATCTTTTCACTGAAACGGAGATATGAAATAATATAATAAGAATTAAATTGCGAAATAAGGATTTCCCACGTGGCTGCACCGTTCTAATGCCATTCATGCAAGAATGGTTTCGAATAAATGTCAAAAGTTTGTTTCGCCGGTAAAATTATTCACGAAATTTAATTTTTATAAAATGGCCAAATAATTATTTAATTTAATCTTTTAAATTCTTAACGAAAATTGGCTTTTCTTGTTAAAAAAAAAAAAAAATTTTTCGGCGCCGTATTTGCCGATGTACGGAATCATTCAACATACGTCGATGCTATAATTTATCTCATTATAAAAGGATAATTGCAACTGTATATCGTTTGCAACGATTAAGTCGATATTCCTAGAATTTTTCCACGTAATTGCTATATAAATTGCTCGTCGATCTATAACTTAACGTAAGTTAAATCGCATCAAAGATACGTTAGAACGAGGAAGTAAACATTGGCGATATACAACAAATATTCGACTTTAAAAGTTAAATTTAGACAGTGACCATGGAATATTTTTGTTTTTTCGAAACAACAAACAGCATTTACTAATCATAGAAATGTCCGGAGCGATGAATTCAACGTTTCTATGAACGTTTCGACATAAAAATAAAATACATTTAAAACAATAGAACAAATGTTTTCTAAAGTTTAAAAGATTATTATCATTCAATATGTTAAGTAAAGCAGAAAACTTAAATGCATTGTATCAGAACAAATGATTTTTTTTTGCTTTTTTGAAGAATTGCTCGCTCTTTCTCACTTCTTTTAATTTAAAAACACACCGAAAAAAATCTAATTTTTTTGCATCATTTTAAATAATTGTTAATAATAAATCGATAAAATTTTATATTTAATTAAAATATTCACTATAAAATATATTATACAATAAAACCTGTCTAAAACGGAACCTGTCTAAACGGGAAAAATTCATAAAAATACAGCATTTTCTGTGTTTAAAAAAAAAACCTATTCAAAACGGAAACCTGCCGAATCGAAACCGTAAGAGTCCGGTTTACACAGGTTTTTTTTTCTTTTTGTTTTACCGCTCGACGAATTTTTATTATATTTTCGCTTGAAGAATAATAATAAAACCAGAAAAATGTGTTAAGATTATTATTTTAAAATAACGTGCTTTTTTTTTTATTTTCCTGTTCGTTCTTTTAGTTCATCCCATACATTTTTTCCTCATCCTTTACGTGGAATGCGAATATGAAACACGGATGCTCCAGTGATTCCTATGAAATTTTGATGTAGATTATCCATCCAAATGCGGATATTTGGACATAAAACGATAATTTTCAAAGCCAAATCATATATACTTTCTTCCATATTTGTTCTGTTTACGTATAGATTTTATATATTTCTCCTTACTTCGTTCAGCTAAACTAAAAGGTTTTTTTTTTATGGAAGTAATT